ACTACTCTACTAGCTGATTTCCACTTAGCCGATTTCCAGTGCCGAAACTTTTTAGCAAAGTTAGACCGACCGTCTGTTCTCTGCTAAATTGAGCTATCGAACACCAACAAACCAAGAGAGTAACGTCCTTCAATTGCTGAATGTGATAAACGGCTCAACAGATGCCCTCCGCTGGCTTGCGGAAGAGGTACGAGCTCGCTATAGATTCCCGCCAAACATGAAACAGGCGGAATGTGACTTACTGGCCCAGAAGTACGACTGGTTCGATATTGAAAAAATTTTTCATCAAGTAGACATATGTCCAGCAAAATTGATTGCCGTGTTTTTGAAAATCGGTACACTGTCTCCAGGTCCGTTTTGATCACGGATTCTTCAAACTGGGCCATAAACTCTGACCAGTCGAGGGGGTCACCAGAAAACTTCGGCATGTCTTTAAAACGATGCTGGTCAAACGGCGTGGCTGTTGTGGCATCAACAATCATCACTGCGCTGCCTCCACCAACTCCTATGGGGGCAGTTTGCGCTGGAAAAGGAACCACTTTGGTGATACGTAACTGCATTTTCAAAAACACGGCAATCAATTTTGCTGGACTTATGTCTACTTGATGAAGAAATTCCTCAATGTCAAACCAGTCGTACTGCTGGGCCAGTAAGTCCATTTCCGCTTGTTCCATGTTTGGCGGGAAACCGTATCGAGTTCGTACTTCCTCCGCTAGCCAACGGAGGGTATCTGTAGAGCCGTCCATCACATTCAGCAATTGAACAGATATGATTTAATTTCATTATTATTATTTTGTACCATTAAGTTTATAAATATGATTTGTATGATAAGTGTCAATTAAATTTTGTGTGCAAATCCAAACGTTGTGTCAATAGTATTACTATTTGTTGTTGTTAAATTTGACATAAATGAAGTAACATTCAATTCATTGGAAACGGTTTTAGGGTTTGTAGACAAATTTATCACAGGATCAAGTTGGTAATTTACGCCAGTTATCACTGAATCCAATTGATTTTGTTTTTCAAAGCATTCATACAGAATTTCTTCATAGATATGATTTTCAACGAGTGATTTTGACAATGTTGACGTACTACTTTTGATTGATTCATTGTCAGAAAATGAGTTGTTGTTGCGTGATAACTCGTCCATAAGATTGTTTATTGATGGCCCTTTGACTGGATCAGCAAAATAACTGTAAAGATTATTACGGCGATTTGTGTCCTTACTAAACGGAACTGGCACAATTCTATTTGGAATCTTAGGAGCTTTTTTGTTTAGTAAAACAGGCAGTTTACAATGATTTTCATGCTGTTTTACTTTGTCGTTTTCAGCCTTGTTTTCCGATTGAGAAGTTTCATGGATGATGTTGTTCATTAGTTGGTCCATTGATGAGCTAAACATGGGCATGTTTGAGTGGGGTTGATGCAATTTATGAAAAGAAGTTGATGATTTTGATAAGTTAATACTTTCAAAGTTTAAATTTTTCAGTTTTAAATGATTAGTTGTTTTGACTGGTTTTTGTTTTGCCTTTTGTTCAGGATCATTTTGTTTAAAGTTGTTTTTAACTATTTAAAATAAAAAATTAGTTTCAGATTTAAAACAAAATTAAAAATATGTGAATACCTTTAACAAAGTTTTTCCTTAATTTCTGTTTGTTTTGGGTTGCATGAATAGTTGTTTCTTTGTTGCGGTATTTTTCTTCAATCATTTTAATGTAACTGTTGCATGGTGCAGCGTTCATATTACTGGCATTGTGATTTCTATCAGCATTCAATTTTTGTGGAGACGTTTTAAATGCATTTAAAGGAGATTTGTTTTTAAATAATTTTTCATTTTTCAGTTTTTCTTTAGAATCCAACCCATCAAGCAAATCTGGAGCAAGCATATTACAAGTGGATTTTTCTTCATTATCCATAGCATTGGCTCGAGATGCAGCATTAACGCCATTTTCATCAGTTTTTGCTAAATCATTGCCACAAAATAGTGAATCAATTTCACTTTCTAGTTGAGTTAAATCGTTTGTAGCAAATTGACCTTTGCGGATTGCTGAACGCAATTTAGCACACAACGGGTCTTTGAGAATTGACTTTTGATGAAAAGTAACTGAACTGCTTGGATTTGCCATTTTATGATCTTCCTTGCTTTCATTTAACGCCTGGTCAATGTTACAGTACAATGGCTGAGATGACGATTCTTGTTCGTAATTAAGATGCGCCTTTTTAAATTTGCGTTGCAACTCGGCCGCTGACAAATCACGAACGACTCGATTGCCTAGAAGATTGCTGTTCATTGGTTGCTGATGTTCATTTGTTTGCATTTTCACGTTGTTCACTGTTTGTGAGCCCGTTGTGCTTGCGACCTCATCATACGTGTTACTGCCCACATCGCTGCCATGGTTTTGTTGATCACTGAAACCATTTGAGATTGCCGCCATTTCAGCTGGACGATTGTACTCTGTGCAATGGTAACGGTTCAAAAGCTGATGGCCATACTGATTTATAGAATTGCCTGTTGTTATTGATGGAACTTTGTGAGCCAAACGAGGACTGACTGAAGTCACCTGAACATCAGCATTGAAACGGACACACTTTCCGGAAGCATTATTACTGTTGTTGTTGCTTATGGCTGAACAATGCTGAACACTAGTAGTTTCGTTTTGAGGCGACCACTGATTGGCATTGTTCTCATTGCTGGAAAGTTCAAATCGAGGTCGATTGACTACTGATGAACTGACGCGAGAGATTGGACTGCAAAACGGCTCGCTCACCACGTAGGCGTTCACTGGTTTGAGATCAGAATGTTGTTGCAGTGGGTGTCGAGGGAAGGCGGAACTAGCCTGATTAGGGCCTGAAAACTGGAGATCTTCTGAGCATGACTCTGTGTTATCACCTGAAAAAATGATACAGTTTAGTATTGTTAAAAAGCCGACAATCTCAAAGTTTTTTACATCATGCAATACTTACGTTGATCGCCGCCAAATGATTTGTCTGCCGTCTCGCCGCCAAACTTTTGCTCTTCACTAAGGTTTTGCTCAAAATCGTAGTCTTCGACGCCGTCTTCATCCTCCTCGTGCATTCCACCGCTTCCCTGGTACTCCTGGTACTCTTCCTCATCATCATCAGATGGATCAGAGTTGACGGCAAGAGCGCTGATGGTTTCCAGCAGCGGGGCAATCGACTGTTCACCCGTTCGTTTGGCAGCAGCAGCGGCATGACACTTGCGAATTCGTTTGCTAAATACTCGATTTTGAGTTGTTGGTTTTGGAGTTGTTTGAGATGATGAGGATGATGGTGAGCACAGCATTTGGTGAGGGTAAACCGCATTGCTAGAGTTTGGGCTAGTACTTTTCACTGAAAGCATTTCTTCGGCAATCAGAACTTGCTGTTTTCTCGTACAAGAAGAAGAAGCCATAATTAAACCTTTAATTTGATTGATTTTGATTGAAAACAAGTGCTATGCTTTTAAACAACAAAGTTTTCTGTGCTTCACCGGTTGTTTTCTACTGCACATTCATTTTTGTCATTAGAATAAAATGGTTGTGCGTGCCTAGTTTTTTGAAAAACCAGATCAAAAGGATTGAAGCAATAAAAAAGATAAACGCAAAGTTGATGAGAGGCAATTGGCCAAAGCACTTTAGAGCGATGAAAGAGAGTTGCAGATAAAAAGAGCAAGTGGCCACTGCTTGACCGGTGTGGCCACTGAGGGCAACTTTTTGTTGTTGTTGCTGTTGCTGCTGTTGCTATTGAGCAGTTTCCCGTGGTAGCAGCATCGAAAGCAGTTTGACATGAGCTAAATTGAGATGAATTAAGCAGGTCAATAAAGAAGAAAACGAAGAAGAAGAAACAAACTGTAGAAATATGGTTAGTTGAACGTTGTTGCTATCCGAAAAGAGTTAAAGCAAGGAAACAGCATGACTCAAACAAAAAGAAAAAAAGAGAGAAGGGGTAAAAAGCAACGACACTGTCGAACCACAGAAATGTCTTCAGAGTGAAAGAGAGAGAGAGAGAGAGAGAGAGAGAGAGAGAGAGAGAGAGAGAGAGA